AAGTCATTCAACACATCACTCGATGCACATCCAGTGCCCGAAGACATCACTTCCAGAGATGACAACAAACACAGTGTCCGACAACTCATACAAACAGAGGACACTAGAAATGAATCAATTGTTGCAAAGAAGACATTGAATACCAATAAAGCGAAGACAACAACAAAACGGTTGAGTGAATGGTTGAACAAAAAGGATGAATCGGACGATAATTATGACCACAAATGGGAACAAAGTTTAAGTAATGAAGAAATGGATGATAAAAGCGTTCAGAAAAGCGAAAAAAGTTGTGAAAACTCGACGACAACATCACTGAAGAGGAAATATAAGGACAGAACGCGTGACGCGAATGGAAAGCCATCACTCGACTCACATCCAGTGCCCGAAGACATCACATCCAGTGATGACAACAAACACAGTGTCCGACAACTCATACAAACAGAGGACACAAGAAGTGAACCAAAGAAGACATTGAATGGCAATAAATTGATGATAACAACAAAAGAGAGACATAAAAAACAAAATAAGACAGAAAGTGATGAATCGGAGGATAATTCAGATCACAATTGGGAACAGACTTTAAGTGATGAAGAAATGGATGACAAAAATGGGAAGAAAAAGAGAAAATATGTTAAGAAAAGCGAAAAAAGTGGTGAAAACCTGAAGACAACGACAACAACACTGAAGAAGAAATATAAAGAGAAGAGATTTGTTTCCGCAGATGGGAAGCGCTTTCGACCGAAACCTTTTATTTGTGAATACATTGGATGTGAGAAACGGGTCGTCGATTACGAACAACTTTTGGCACACATTCGGGTCAGACATACAATGGAGCGGCCGTTCGGGTGTGACGTCTGCCACAAGACATACCCTATTGAGCGATACCTACGGATCCACCAGAAAATGCATACGGAAGACAACCGACAGTTCCGGTGCTCATGGGTTGGCTGTGACTCCGCTTTTCGCACAAAACAGTTTCTTCGCGATCACTTCCGAACACATGAACAGCTCCGGCAATACGCGTGCGATGAATGTGACCAACGATTTAACACGAGTAGGAATCTTCAGGCCCACAAAAACGGTCGGCACTCGACTGCCCGGCCGTACACTTGTGATTGGCCCGCGTGTGAGGCCACCTATAAGGACACAACAATGCTTAAGCGCCATAAAGAGACACATCTGGGAGTCAGACAGTATGTGTGCGATAGAGAGGGTTGTGGTAAAGGGTTTGTCACTAATCATGGATTATATCAACACAAACGCCAACACTTGAGGCCATTTGCGTGCAGTTGGCCCGCATGTGAACACCGTTTCGGCAGCAATGATAAGCTCGTGGACCACATGAACTCACATCAGGGCCTACGAGTGGTCGAGTGTCCGGTCGAGGGTTGCGATAAGACATTCACATCCAAACCCTGTGCGCGACAACACTTAAGACAAGTCCACAAATATAAAACCACTGAAGAGGAAATATAATGGGCCTACGAGTGGTCGAGTGTCCGGTCGAGGGTTGCGATAAGACATTCACATCCAAACCCTGTGCGCGACAACACTTAAGACAAGTCCACAAATATAAAACCACTGAAGGACTCATTCCTATCAAGAAATAAATTATGGTTTACTTAATATTACTGTTATATGTATTGATGTTTTGTAAATAATTTTATGTTTATTTTATGTATAATAAATAGCAATTTATTTAACGTTTACTTTAAAGTAAAATAAATTATTTCTCATTTTCTACACTCATTTAAGTTTTTATTTATTTTACACGTTATTAATGAATGGTTTGTTATGAGAGATCTGTTGACAAAACACTGACTTTCACTCAATTTAGTCCACATTTGAATTGAATTGAAATACAATTGATTTCTTAATTAAGTTTTGATTTGATTTGTATTGAAATTATGGCTAAAATACTAATCAATGATTTGTTTGAAGAGTTATTGACTGAAAACACAAGACTTTTATATGAATTGAAAAGTTGTCACAAAATAATGGATTTGTTTGAAAAGTACAGACAATTCGTGATTAGTTTGAATGCAAACTGTATTTGTCCTCAAAATAGTGGACACA